TCTTTTTTTGAATAGAATCGTTCTTACGGCAGTGGTACCATGATGTGAACATCTTTTAAAACAAAATTTAGATTTTGTAATTCATATTCAATATTAACATCACAACTATTCAGGGTTGCCAGATTGTCCGAATTGTACCCCCTCATAGTGACTACGTAATATGTGAATGTATTACAGAATTTACACTACGTAACATGTGAAATCAGAAAATATTTCGCATATTACGTAATCACTATGAGGGGGTACAATTCGGACAATCTGGCAACCCTGCAACTATTATCCATTTTCAGAAAAAGGCGGTTGAGCATTTTTTTAATAACTTTTGATAGAAACTAGATAGAGAGGTGCGGTTTTCACCATTACAAAGACAAGACCGGGGCACATAATGTCTGCTAAAATCCTATTGGTTGATAATGAACCAATCAAATACATTCTCAGTGAACATTTTGAACCCGTTATTCTGGAGTCATTTCATAACTTTACTGAATTATGAATTTACTTGTTTTATAGGCAAAATTGTTCTCTATCGATCTACGCAAGGCCGCCCTTTCTAGCTAGTCCCATTGGAGAGTTATAAGGTTTTTCCTGAGACCCCTGATTTTAGCAAATTGACCTTGGATCACCCGGAAAGTCGTCTAGGATGGGACAATTCGTCATTCTGAGTCGAATGGTGACGTTTGTTTTCGTATTCGAAATGATTTGATAGTGTTATTTAAGAATTTTCAAAAATTTACAAAATCTACCGCTATATATCAAATGAGTCGATATTTCGGGGCGTGGGTGTGGGTGTGGGCATGGATGTGGGTGTGGGTGTGGGTGTGGGCATGGATGTGGGTGTGGGTGTGGGTGTGGGCATGGATGTGGGTGTGGGCATGGATGTGGGTGTGGGTGTGGGTATGTCGGTGGGTGCGGGTGTGGGTGCGGGTGTGGGCATGGATGTGGGTGTGGGTGTGGCGGTGGGTGTGAGTGTGTGGGTGTGGTGGTGTGGCGGTAGGTTTGGGTGTGTGGGTGTGGCGGTCGGTGTGGATGTGAGTAAACAATAAACAATAGCATCCATACCTACACCCACATCCACTCCAACACCCACATCCACAACTACAGCCACAGC